GTGGATCACTTGTGTCATTTGTGTCATATGTGGATCACTCATTAAAATGGATTTTTTTTTATAAATTATACTTGTGTCACATGTGGATCACTCATTTATGACACGAACCTATTTAAACTCAAAATTAATCCGTTTAATTTTGATATTATACAAATCGCATTCCCGCGTCATATATAGACCATGTCACACCTTGACGGGAGCATTTCACGTCTCAGAAATGGAGAATTTAGAAGGCTTGAAATATCAACATTCATTAATATTTATGATTGGAGAAAATATGAGCCGTCAACAAAGCCTGCCATAGACTTGTGCAAGTCTTTTTGGTGGGACTCTAATGGCTTTTGGTGGGACTCTAAGGCTAACTTTATCAAAGGAAGTGTTAGGATTGGGGGCAAAACAAAAGTACTTGAACAAGTCCTTCAGTAAAGCCATTTCTCACCTGCAGAGTCTAAAAATACCTTTTAAAAGTTCTGAGGGTCTACAAATTGCACGTAATTTACAAGCTCTTTAGCAAAATTTTTGAAGACAAAATTGAAAAATTGATGTTAACTTCACTTCTTTGCTGGTTTTGCAATAGATTACAAACAAAAAGATATCAAATGTTGATTTCACTTCAATTAAATCATACTTGAAGAACAAAAAACTGATCTCAAAACTATAACAAACAAAAGCAATAGATATAGTCAGTGGCGGAGTTAGGATTGAAGACAAAGAGGGACAAAAATTTTTTTTTTTTTTTCAAAAGTTAGGAAGCGCTAAATTAAAAAGTATTATATTTTAGGAAATAAAATTGAAAATTTTTAGAAATTTAGAGTTGAATTATTAAAAAAAAATTAATTAAAAAAAATTACTGGAAAGGGTACCCCCGACAACCCATCCCTCCCTCACTGAATATAGTCCATACTTTAAATCCCAATCAATTGAGTCTAAACCTAAGCAACCTGGCAAAAAAAATGAAGAAATTATAAACACAAAAAGATTGTTAGATTATCTTTTCTTTTTTTTTTTTTTTTTTCAAAAGACTTTCTCTTTATTTTTCCTCCTTGCTTCAATTAAGGATTGTTCTTCCTTTCCTCAACAGTACTTTCAAATGGAACTAGGCCTTTGCTAAAGCAAGTGAAAATCCAAAACAAATGAGGGCAACTGAATTGCAAATTGGTTCTTCCTTTCTGATTTTGCTTAAATTCATTTTGGGTCATGCCCACCCTACAAAAGCCTATTTTTTTATTTCACCAATTCCTCTGCATTTTATCATCTCTTAAACTGCAAATAAAAGCATGTTTAATTTAAACAATATGATTTTCTGTGATTGTAATGTCATCTTGAATAACTTTCTGAACGTTCTATCTCGTGTGTTAGCTGAAGTGTGTTCGACGGTCAACGAATAATGTTACACATTTACTTGCAATTCAAGCCTATATTTGATCTGCGATAGTGGGGTCATGTCCCTCTCAATTTTATTTCCAATGTTGTAAGAGTTGATTTAGTCTAATTTAAATTTCCGTTTTATCTGTCAAAAAAAATAATAATAATAAACAATGTGAAATATTATTATATTAAATCCTCAACTAATTTATTAACTTCAAAAACTTTGGAAGAATTTGATTTTAATTTGATTTGTAATTAAAAAGACATGGCCAATATATAGAGCTGAAAATAAGTTATTTTAATTATAGTTCCTTTAATTTCTATATTATTATTTCAATATGAGAAATTCCACTTCTTTAAACCATTGATTTGGTTTGTTTACCTTTTTTTCACATTTTCAATTATGATAAAAATAACTTTTAATACAAATATTAACTTTTATAATATTTTTAAAATGTAATTGATGTAAATTCAAAATATTTTACAATTCTTATAATATGTTTGAAAAGAAAACACATTAGTAAGTAAATCAATTTTGCCTTTCACTTAAACTGGGTTCTGTCTCCCATCCATGATTATGAATTTTCTTCTCTAAGGGTCCCATGAGATGTTAAGTTGTTTGGAAGATTGTTTGTCCTCATACCAAAATTACAAAGGGACAGAGTTGGGTGCCCTAATTTATTTCCCAAGAACCAAACAGATTTGCCGGCATGGACTTAGTTTTGACCTTTGTTGATCAATCAGTGATCAGAAATCACCATAACCTTTCAAGATTTTTATATTCAACAACAAAGAATAGTACAAATCTTGGAAATTAATATTGCATTTGTTGGGCATCAGCTCTGATATTAGTTGTTGGGCCTCAGGCACCACTTGCCTCAGCTCTGATACCAGTTGTTGGGCATCAGCTCTGATACCAGTTGTTGGGATTATAACTGATCCCGAGTGGCCCGCAGAAAAATGCTCCAATAATTACGTATTGGATATTAAAAATTATAATCGTCACTATTTTCTCTCTTTCCCAATTTTAGGAACCATTTCCTAAAATTCTCTACACTTTGTGTATTTTTATTGTTTTTTGTTTTTGTCCCGTGGACGTAGCCCATAACAGTTGAAGGGTGAACCACGTAAATCTCGGTGTCCTTATTTTCCATCTGGCATTTACGGTAATTATTTAATTTTTTTACCGTGGTTATTATTTTTGTTGAATTCGATCGTTAATATCCAATACAAAATTATTGGAGTATTTTTTCGCGGGCACACTCAGATTAGTTATCATCCCAACAGCATTTTCTATAATTTTCCTGTCACTAGAAGGAATCGAAAATACTTTTTATCTTCATATTGTTTGTAATTTGCATGGTGATGGGGCCAAAATGATAGCATTATTTTGTCCATTACTAAAAAATTTTAATTAAAAAAAGTTGGATAAAGATTTAATTTAAAAAAAGTTGGATAAAGATTGATCATACGAAAAATATATAAAAAGAATCCCTAAAGCGGGTTTGGAATTTTTACATTTTGTTTTGGGTTTTATTTTATTTTTTAATTGATTTATCTTTAAATTTGTTTTTGAAAGGTTTGATTTAAATATTAATTATTATTATTTAAATAATTCCTCATAGAATTGGAACTTATTAAAATAAAATTTAATGATATCAATAATAATAATGAAAAAATGAATTGGAATTAAATTAAAATAAAATTAATGATATCATAAATATGATTATTTTTATTCATATGGATCCATATGAGAATTTATAATACTTAATTATTATTAATGATTATTTTTTTTTTGAAAAAATACAATAATAGTAGCAAATGGTTATTTTTTATTCTCCATAATATAATTTAAATTATTAAACCAAATAATAGGTAATTAATCACTTCCAATTTCAATTTATCAATTCTTTAATCGCAATAAATTTCATTTTATACCTTAATTATCTGAGTAATTTCATTAGATACAATTTAAAAAAACCATTTTTTATCATAAATCTTTCAACATAGTTAATTAATTAAATCATTAATTATTCAATCTTGTAAATACAAATTAAGCATCTCTCCAATAACTCTAGACACAAAATATCAAAATAATTATGACTTTTAACATTATATCTGTTAAATTAGTTGAATTAATAGTTGAATCATCAACACCAAAGCTATGGTATGTATTAGTGGAATTTTATTTTTTTATATAGAAAGAAAATTAATATTGATAAATATTTCTTTAAACCTATGGTTTCCTTTTTTTTTTTTTCTCCAAATAATCTTGAAGCTTAGTTTGGTATTGAGTTGTTAATCATTCTTAAACTGTGTTTTATATTTTCTCGGAAAAAATTGACTTTTCTTTTAACTTCTCGCATGGTAAGTTCCCTTCATCCTAAACATTACAAAAACAATTTACCAACAATATAAAAGTATGTTTGAATGAGGGATAAACAATTAGAGTTTAGGGTTTTAACTCTAATCTCTGTTTACGAACAAGATGAAAGAAAATATTGAAAGAAGGAAAATAACGATAGATTATCAATTTTGTTTCAATGGTTATTTTCTATTCCGTGTTTGGATAGAATAAAAGAAAGAAAATAAATTTATTTGCTTTTGTTTGGAAATGACAAAGTTTTAGAAAAAAATATTTATATTAAAAATTGCTAATTTTATTCTCATTTAAATAGTAGGGTATTTAAGAAGAGTTAAAGTTAGTTAATTGATTTGAGGTATTTTGATAATTTAATAAAAATAAGTGAGATTTTCATTTTTCTCTATTATTTTTTCTTCAAATTGGAAAAATTTAAAACATGTAGATCTGAGTGAAAAATAAGTGAAATTAATATTTTCGTCATCTTTTCTAAATAAGGGAAAATACCTTTAACTAGATAATTTACATAGTTATTTTCCTCCTTAAAAAAACAATCTCATCCAAACAAAGGGTAAGTTAATAAGGTTGTATAATTCAAAAATTAGAATACTGTTTTAATATTAAGGAGTATTTAACTTAAAAACATTAAAAATTGAAATTTATAATTATAATTATTGCATGAGCCTTTTTAAAAATTCTATAATTATCATAATTATAATTATTGCATGAGCCTTTTTACAGATAGCCACTAATTAGTAGCTACCAAATGTTGACTATAATCAAAGGCGGAGTTCCATAAGGACGGACCTAAGGTGCGTGGTATTTAAAGAAAATTATATTTTGATCCTTAAAAATATAAAATAATACATTTAACCCCTCTGAAATTTTAAAAAATTTTATTTGACTCCTCAAAAAAAAATTGTCGTAACTATAATCATGGAACCAAATAGACACTGAATAACCTCATTATCATAGTTGATTGTATCACATGATTAACTAATTTTAAAATTTCAGTTTTATGAATGGCAAAGAAAAATATAAACACGTGGATGCTTATTCTAAATGTAAGATATATTCTGTATGATTGTTCATTATATACATATTTTCAGTTAGTATTTGAAATTAATGTAAATTAATGTATGTCCCTGACAATGGGAGATAAGAAAAAGGCAAAAGCTGGCAAAAGCCTGGAACATTATTAGGGAAATGAAGCATGACCACAATGTGTACCCAGGCTTCCCATTCTCATCCCCCACATCTCCCATTTCATCCCCCACATCTCCAATTATATGGAAGTTCAGGCCACAATCCACATGGTTAAACCTCCACCTATAAATTCTTATTTCTCTTCATTGGTAACTCATCGTCATCATTAAGCTCTTTTCATTCTTTTACCATTGTTTTTTAGCTCACAAAATTCTCTCTCTCTAGGCTCTATCGTCTCTATCCTTGTTTCAACCGAAAAAGCTGAGAAACAACCCACAGAGTTAGAACAGCTTTCTTTCTTAATATGCAGGAAACAGAATTTATCGCCGAGAGATAAAATTACTATTTGGGTTTCAATTTGAAAATTTCCTGGTAAGCTTCACCAATTCAAATTCTACAAATTTTTTAAGGGTTGATAATCGTCGCCACCCTAGGCCTTCCTCTGAGTTTGGGCTCCGATGAGAAGATTTCCTGCAATAATGGGTACTTTAAAAAAAATAGAGCTTTTCAGGTGTTCTCTGAGAAGATTTCCTGCAATAATGGGTACTTTAAAAAAAATAGAGCTTTTCAGGTGTTCTCTATTTTTTGAGCTCCTGAACTTAAATGAATGCTCTTTTTCCGGTGACCGCTCATAGTTTCAGAATTTTACATTTCAACCAGTCTGGGTGTAATTGAATTCGTAATTAAGAATTTTGCAGAGGTACTGAAATTTGTTTTTCTGCGTTGGGTTGCTTCATCAATTAAGAACAAAATTTTTGGACAAATGAAGGAAACGAGTCAGACTCGTTTGCACCCAAGTTACAACCTGATTAAAAAGCTGAAGCTAATCTCTCTCCCCGATAAAACGTGCGAGATTTTAACTGTTCTTGCGAAAATTTTAGCCCCATTTCATCCCCCACATCTCCAATTCTGTCTCATATCCTCAATCTCTCTCGCCCTCTATACTGCCTTCTTCTCCCCAAAACCCCTTGCGCTCCGTTTCCCCACTCCAAAACGGAACAACCCACAACCCGAAACCAGACTCGATACCGGACCCACTAACATCGCCCACATCCTTATGGGAATAGGCGGATCAGCAGCCACATGGAACGATCGCGTCCGATACAGCTCTCTCTGGTGGGACACAAAGAAAACGCGAGGCTTCGTTTGGCTAGACAAAATGCCGAAAAACAAGAACAACAGAAAATCCGAAATATCGGAACCACCGTACAGGCTTTCGTCTCCAGACTGGACCCGGTTCAGATTCTCCAGCTCGAGATCAGCGGTCAGGATCGCTAGAATAATAAGCGATAGCTTTAAATCGAGGCTGCCAAATGTGAGGTGGTTCGTGATGGGAGATGATGGTACAGTGTATTTCACTGATAACTTAGTTTCGGTGTTAGCGAAATATGATCATAATCGGATGTGGTATATCGGAGGGAATTCTGAGAGTGTAGAGCAAGATTTGATGCACGCGTACGATATGGCTTTTGGCGGTGGAGGATTTGCGATCAGTTATCCACTGGCGGAGAAATTAGTCAACATATTAGACGGTTGTCTTGATCGGTACTATTATTTCTACGGTTCTGATCAAAGGATCTGGCGTGTATAAGTGAAATCGGCGTGCCGCGCGTGTATAAGTGAAATCGGCGGTGCCGCTTACTATTAGAGCGCGGATCTCCACCAGGCTACTGTGTTAGCTTGATTTGTCTACAGCTTGGCTTTGGTTGGAGTTTTCTTTTTTACACGTGCAGCATTAGGTGTTGTCAACAGAGTTTTGCCTTCACCTGACCGTGTTTGACGGTTATGCGTGTCGTGCCCCACGCGTGTAACGTTATCACTACTTTGGTTAAAGACAAAAATTTTAGAAAACTTAATAACATTTCCTATTTAGAAATTCTATAAAATTTAACTATCATTGGATTCTAATGAATTAAGAAAGATAAACAATTGACAGAATTGTCCGGATATATATTTAACTATATTGGATTCTTAACAAAACTCATTCTCTTGAAGTTGTTTGAGCACTTTAATTAATTTTTGCAGGACTGCCTCTCTTAAGAAGTTCACGTATAAAAATCCTGCCAGCACTTAAAAGCTATGCATATCTGTATTTCAAGATGCAATAGAATTAATCACATGATGGTGAATATTTTTGCTTAAACTGTTTATGCAAATTTTTATTCTTCCATTCAAAATAATTCTTTAATAAATCTCTCTCTTTTCTGTGTGTGTGGTGGTGGTGTTT